GCTGCTCATCAGGCAAATCTTGTGGTTGCTCGGGATTACGTTGTTCATTAAAGTACTCTTGCCATCGCCGAAATATGCCTTTATCCAAGGTAAGAAGGCGCATAGATTAGTTGTTCAGGACTCTTTGACCGTCTATTTTTCTATTTTAAAGGAAGCGTATGGTCTGCAAGAACACTCTATTTGCTGTCTGTAAATTCAACTACAGTATCTCACTAAACTTTTTCTAGGATCCAGCGCTTGCTGCCGCCCTGTGCGCTTCTGTATCTTGCATTCGAGTAGAAGGCTGTTTGGTCACAGGCCATCGCTTGAATGCAGCCTTCTTCTCAGTGATGGTCATTTGAGCCTCTCATGTTCACAAGGAAGTTTGTTTCTACACTACAGGAGGCAAGCCAAGCTGTCTGAAACCTCAGCACTAAGCGGCAACCCTGAATAAGTCGTATTTAAAGGCCTTCTACCGTCATCCCTGGGATGTGCAAAAACCTTTAATATTATTTGAAAGTTTTGCCCTCGTATCAGCAAACGATAGTATTCCCCATTTGACTCTCTGGTTGCTTCTGCCATGTAGCGTGTAAACAACAAGGTGCTAAACGGTTGATAGTTGTCTCTCTTAACTCCATTGCATAGCGTCATAAGTCGGACAATACGATAATCAAATCGACCGTCGACGTCTGTTCACAAGTTTCCCTGTGAACATCAGGTATACTGATGCACTCTTCGATACTCGAAGGTGTTCACAATGGACTGTTCGTTGTCTGCACAAAACCACATTAACTTTATGCCGTTATTGTTGAGGCTGCTTGGGCCGTTCTTTCCAATCATGCACTTTCACCTTTCAGCATCTGCTCGGAGATGCGCAATGAAATGCCCCGTTAGAATCATGGATTATAATTCAGCTAGGACCTTCGTGCAGGCACAATATAGTGCCTGAATGACCCGAGGACTCATATTCTTCTTCCAAACTAGGCAACAAACTTGTAGCAAGGTCGAAGCATTAATTTGTTGTAACTTCAGCCGGATAAATGCCACTGACAGTTGTAACGTTGAACCGGGGTTGAAAAATTCAACGCAACAACGTCGATGTCCACATCTTCAGAGCAAAGAACATATTTGTTCGCTGTAATTTATCACAACGCCGGCGTATATTAGATCCAGTACTAAGATTAAAGTAGTAAGACTAAACATATCAGAAAAAGCAACATTAGTCATTGGAAGGATTGTATAAAACCGAGAACAAAAGGCGGTTACAATGAAAACCATTCTACAGCAGTAAATATGCACTGCGCCTGTGAAACAGTATAACATCATGTAAGAACCAAATTATTACATGTATTCTGGGAAATTCATAACCGATTCCATACGAGTCAAATTCAAGAACACTTTCGATTCAGAAATTAGAGTCAAGAATATGGCTAACGTCAAAAAAGCTCAATTACAAACAGATTCGACAGCGACCAAATTTTGCTTTATCAGGTTCTACTAAATAAGCATTAATACGACAACATATAGTCCATCTCCTCAACATATGCACATACATTCGTCAGCCAGGCAAAACAAAATAAAAGGAAAACAAGCGGGAATATATCAGGGTGTCCATTTGGATTTTAGAACGTATGCTCCAATGACGGGCGTGGGGTGTTTGAAGTCTCGATTTTACTCTCAACAGACTCTGAACCATGAAACAGCTACTGCTAATTGCAAATCAATGTGTATTCATTTTGAATAATTTCCAACTGCTAAGTCCGAAACATAAAAATTCACCAACAACATTCATTTGATCAGTCTGACAAGCAAAGCCGCTCATCACA